ACGTTTTTTTTTTTAATCCGCTGTTGGACAAAACTTTCCCAGCTTTCCGTTACCAGTGTTTTTGAGAATCGTTGACTACAACAGAAATGGCCTTAATTTTGTTTGAAAAGTGTATCATGATGGGGAAAGGGTGGGCCATACCCTACCCCCTGCCCTGTAACGACTAGGAGGGTGTCTCATAGTCGCCCTTTCTATGACCCGCAGTAAAATACGCTGGAATTATTGTTTTCACGCCCCCCCCCCCTGTCAACAAGGGAATACCTGTGAGCAGTCGAGGGGTGGAGGACCTAGTCCAGGAGAACCACGCGCCGGCCGGGACTGGAATCCTGGAAGTAAGATTGTTCTGACAGAATTTGAATCGAATGCTCAGGCTATCTGTCAATCGCTCTCTCTGTCTCTCTCTCTCTCTCTCTCTCTCTCTCTCTCTCTCTCTCTCTCTCTCACACACATACACACACACACACACACACACACACACACACACACACCACACACACACACACATATATTATATATATATATATATATATACATATATATATATATATATATATATATATATATATATATATATATATATATATTATATATATATATATCATATATATATATATATATATATATATATATATTATATATATGTATATATCATATACATACATGTGTGTGTGCTGCGCGTAGCATGTATGGCCATTGCTGATCTAAAATCCTGCTCGGTTCCGCCCCAAAGCCCAGCGCTGTTCGTGACACGGAGCGTTGGCTCTTAACCTTTCCATCGCCCGCAAATCGCTCGGAAAGATAGAGCCACGACAAAGGCCAAAGGACATGAAAACTTTTATTCGTAAAAGAGGCTCTCTGGTAAAAAAAAAAAAAAAAAAAAAAAAAAAAAAAAAAAAAAAAAAAAATCATATTTTCGTTGCATATTGTGGTAGATATCCCGTAATAAGTTAAAGGGTCTTTTTCACGTTTTTTCTTGATTGCTGTAGATGCCATCATGACTATAAACAATGGTTTATAGTCCTGATCATCTTCATCATCATCTTCATCACCACCACTCATCATCATCAGCACCACTCATCATCATCAATCATCACCATCATCAATCATCACCATCATCACATCATCATCATTCATCATCATCATCATCATCACCATCATCATCATCAATCATCACCATCATCAATCAATCATCATCATCATCATCAATCATCACCATCATCAATCATCATCATCATCATCATCATCATCATCATCACCATCATCATCAATCATCACCACCATCATCATCATCATCAATCATCACCATCATCATCATCATCAATCATCACCATCATCATCATCAATCATCATCAATCATCATCATCATCATCATAATCACACATCATCATCATCTCATATCACCATCTCTTCATCATCACCATCATCACTACCGCTCATCATCATCACCATCATCACCACCACTCATCATCATCATCATCAATCATCACCATCATCATCTTCTTCTTTATCATCATCATCATCATCATCATCAATCATCATCTTCATCATCATCTTCTTCATCATCTCATCATTCATCATCATCACACCAGTCATCATCATCATCAATCATTCATCATCATCATCAATCATCATCATTCATCATCATCATCATCATCATCATCAATCATCCATCAATCAATCATCATCAATCATCAATCATCATCATCATCATCATCAATCATCATCTCATCATCAATCATCATCAATCATCCAATCATCACCATCACCATCACCATCACCATCACCATCAATCAATCATCAAGAAAAAGGCATTCCCAACTGAAAATTATTCTAACGTATACATTCTCAAAGGTGTATCTGAGTGACCCAATTTTCACGTTGGTTCGAAAAGGCGTTGTGTTCACTCCTTTGTGAAAGAATTTTGTCTTTTTTTTGTTTTTTTTCTGAATTCTCTACTTTTAACGGTTTTTTCTTCGCTTATTTCTATTTTTGCTATTCTTTTCCTTTTTTTTTTCTTTTCCCATTTCCTTTTCGTTTTCTTTTCTTCTGCTTCCTCTTCCTTTTTCTTTTCTCCCGTTTCTTTTCCGTAAATCCATGAAACCAATAATCATTAGTTAATTTCTCTTGGTGTTAGGGGCAATAACAACAGAAATTACAACTAGATTAGAAAAAAAAACGATAACAAAACAGAACAGAAGGGAACTCACTACATAAAAGAAACGAAAAGAGGAAAGAGAGAAAAAAATGGATATTATGAAAGTGTTGCTAATAATCATGATGATAATGGCAATAAAATCTCTATAACGGAAAAGGTGCAGTTTAACCTTAGAGATGGAGGCTCGGTAACGATACGCAGATTAGGTAACTTTTACGCTTTTTCACGTTAAGATTAGTGTGATTAAACTCAGATAAATTTCAGATAACAAAACAATTATTCATCATCACCATCATCATCAATCATCATCATCATCATCAATCAATCATTCATCATCATCATCAATCATCATCATCATCATCAATTCATCATCATCATCAATCATCACCATCATCAATCATCCCTCATTTCAATCATCATCATCAATCGTCACCATGATCATCATCAATCATTCACCTCATCATCAATCATCATCATCATCATCATCATCATCATCATCATCATCATCATCAATATCATCATCATTTCAATCATCATCATCTCATCATCAATCATCACCATCATTCAATCATCACCATATCATCATCCTCATTATCAATCATCATCCATCAATCGTCCACCATGATCATCATCATCATCATCATCAATCATCATCATCATCAACATCATTTTCCGAACCCCCATCATCAAATTCAATTTCAAAATCATCACCCCAATCATCATTCAATTCATCATTCAAAATCATTTTTAATCCAATTTCATCATTCAATTCATCCAACCCATTCCATTTTCATCAAATCATCCCCACATCATCATCAAATCATCACATTCATCATTCATCATCAATTCATCACTATCATTCATTCATCGTCAAATCTATCACCTATCATCACCATCATATCACATCATTAAATCACCATCATCATTTCAATTCATCACCATCATCATCATCATTCAATCATTACCATTCATCATCATCATCATCTACCATCATCATCATCAATTCATCACCATCATTTCATCTTCTTCATCATCATCACCTCATCTTCATCATCATCAATCATCGTCATCATCACCTTCATCACCGACCACTCATCTCATCATTCATCACCCACCCACTTCTCCATCATCATCATCTATCAATCATACACCATTCATCTTTCTTCTTTATTCACATCATTTCATCTTTCTCACCATTATCTTCAATCTCATCTTTCCTCATTTCATTCTTCATCACCACTAACTCCATCATCATCACCAGAGCAGATACAAAAAAATCAATTTCATCATCAATTCATTAAAAATCCATTCATTCAGTCATCATCCTCATCATCAATCATCATCAATTCCACTCATCATCATTCATCATCATCAAATACATCCATTCATTCATCAATCATCATCATCAATCATCATCATCATCACCATTCACCATCAACTATCATTCAATCAATCAAAGAAAAAAGTCATTCCCAACTGAAAATTATTCTAACGTATACATTCTCCAAAAGGTGTATCTGAGTGACCCCCAATTTTCCACCGTATGGTTTCGGAAAAAGGCGTTGTGGTTCACTCCCTTTTGCTGAAAGAATTCTTGTCATTTTTTTTTCTGAATTCTCTACTTTTTAAAGTTTTTTCTTCGCTTATTTCTATTTTGCGATTTCTTTTCCTTTTTTTTCTCCCATTTCCTGTTTTTCGTTTTCTTTTTCTTCATGCTTTCCTTTTCCATTTTTCTTTTCTCCCGTTTCCTTTTTCCCTAAATCCATGAAAACCAATAATCATTACTTAATTTCTATTTGGTGTTAGCGGCAATACAACATCAGAAATTACTAGTTTAGAAAAAAAAAAGAAAAAACGACTGATTATACAAAGGGCCAGAACGGAAAGAACCAACTCACTACAAGAAAAGAAACGAAGATAACAGAGGAAAGAAAGAAAAAAAAAAAAAATGAATATTATGGAAAGTGTTGCTAAATTCATTGTGATAATGGTAATAAATTCTCTTATTAACGGAAAAGGTCTCTGCAGTTAACCTAGAGATGGAGGCCTCGGTAACGATTTCACCAGGATTAGGTAACTTTTTCGCTTTTCACCTTCAAGATTAGTGTGATTTAACTCGGATAAATTCAAGAATAAAAACAAACCGACACAACACAACTTAATTATTCATATTTTAATAACTAATGAGAATAGATAAATAGATGATAAAGATAAATAAACAAATGAATAACAAAAATGAATAAATAATAGATAAGTAAATAGAGTGTTCAATAACACCTTTGTTAAAAGAAGGGGAAGTAGCTCAGTGGTAGAGCATTCGACTGCAGATCGAGAGGTCCCCGGTTCGATCCCAGCGGCCGTGTCCCCTTACTTCCCGTGGATTTTTATTATTATCATTATTATTTTTATATTTATATTCTATTTTTTCCCTCTATTCCCAGAAAAAAAAATCCCTACAGAAAATAAACTTCTTCCCCGTATATATTTTTTAAAGAGGTATTTGATTGGTCGCAACTTCTTCACTGGGTTCGAAAAGGAGTTTGATTTTATAACCGTGTTTTTTTCTTTTTTTATGCAATAACATGTTAAACATATTTATTCTGTTTCCTTTTCAATCATTTTCCAATTTCAATTTTCATATTCCATATTCTCGATTTTCTTTCTCTTTCTAATTTCTACTTCTATTTCAGTTTCTCATTTATTTACCTATCGAGAGTGTGTCTTTTCTCTTTCCTGTTCCTTATCCTATTTCTTTCTCTATGTTTTCCTTCGTCTTCTCTCTTTTCAGACCAAATAGGCCACCACATTTCAAAGACTATATAATGTTCATCATATTTAACATTAAGGGGAATTAGCTCAGTGGGTAGAGCATTCGACTGCAGATCGAGAGGTCCTCGGTTCGATCCCGGGCGTCCCCTTGCGCGCGCATTTTTTTTTTTTTCTTTCTTTCTTTCTTTTTCCATTTTCTTTTCTCCCGTTTCTTTTCCGTAAATCCATAAAACCAATAATCATTAGTTAATTTCTCTTGGTGTTAGGGGCAATAACAACAGAAATTACAACTAGATTAGAAAAAAAAAGAAAACGATAACAAAGCAGAACAGAAGGGAACTCACTACAGAAAAGAAACGAAAATAGGAAAGAGAGAGAAAAAAATGGATATTATGAAAGTGTTGCTAATAATCATGTTGATAATGGCAATAAAATCTCTATAACGGAAAAGGTGCAGTTAATCTAGAGATGGAGGCTCGGTAACGATACAAAGATTAGGTAACTTTTTCGCTTTCACCTCAAGATTAGTGTGATTAACTCAGATAAATTCAGATAACAAAACAATGATTCATATTATATTAATTAATAAGAATAAATAAATAGATGATAACTTATTATTATTATTATCATTAGTGTTGTTTTCATTATTATAATTATCATTATTATTATTATTGTTATTGTTATATTATTATCATTATCATCATTATCATCATCATTATTATTGTCATTATTATTAGTATTAGTATTAGTATCATTATTATATTATCATTATCCTTATTATTATCAATACAATCATTATCATAACTATTGTCATTATTATTATCATTATCATTATTCTTGTTATTGTCATTATAATATCATCATTACTGATGTTATCCTCATCATCATCTTCATCATCATCATCATCATTATCATCATCATTATGCTTATCATATTATTTCATATCATCTTATCAATATTTCATTATCTTCATTGTCATCATTATTTTCATCCCTATTATTGCTATTTTAACCATCAACCATTGTTGTTAACATTGACAGTTTTCCTAATTTCATTATAATCATCATCTTAAAAGTAAACGTATTTCATATATTTATATGTATCATATGTAGATAGATAGATAAATAGATACATACATACAAACATACACACACACACACACACACACACACACACACACACACACACACACACACACACACACACACACACACACACACACACACACACACACACACACACACACACACACACACACACACACACACACACACCACACACACACACACACATATATATATATATATATATATATATATATATATATATATATATATATATATATATGTATATTTATCTATCTATCTATCTATTTATCTATATCTATATATCATATATCTATATATATGTATGTTTTATTTATATATATATATCTATCTATCTATCTATATCTATCTATCTATCTATCTATCTATCTATCTATCTATATATATAGATAGATAGATAGATAGATAGATAGATAAGTTATTGATGCAATTTTCATTCCCATTGTTGGGTTCTATTTTCTTGTGCACCTATATTTTTTGCTACTAACGTTGTTATAATCTTTACTATAAGTATTTCATTTTCCGAGCTGTAGCATTCGTTATTGTCATTATCAGTGATTCTCTTTATCACTAAATTGCCATGATAGCAACAATAGTTATAATCTTCCGTTATCTGTTACGATATTTCCATTTCAAATATAAGAATGAAGAGATGTCTCAAGCTCGCTACAACATGCATTTCTCGCCTTTCCCCTTTCTCTCTCCCTCTTCTCTCTTCTTTCCCGATTTCCCCTCGTTCTTCCTGTTCCTCTACACCTCTTCTCTTCGCTTCCTTTTCCCCGTTTCTCTCTCTCCTCCTTCTATAGAGCGTTGAACTTGGGCATCGGGGCTATATATGCTTAACCAGATTCCAACAATTTGTAATGATTTATATTTGCAGTAATAAGGATTTATGATGTTAATTGTACCAACGTTTAGCGCGCACATTCGCCATGAGTTACAACTAGCAATTTCCCTATTGGTCGCTAGTTTATAAATCAAGGGGCTGGAAGAGAGATGGTGTTGTTAAAAGAGCCTCCTCTGTATTTGGATGTTCACTGTTCACGGTACGGACATGTAAAGACACATGCATATGCACATGTAAGCTGTTGTGCGCGCATAAAATACATTGATGAACGCACGCAGGCATATGTAACTCGCATGCATCGTCACACATGAGTATAAACAAAGCCATGTATACATAGTTACACATACTAACGTGTATATATAAGCATTTAAAGGTACTGTACATAGGTGAACAATCGTCCCGTGAAAATGTCATATATGGAATATTAATGCAGGTGCTACCCTTTTGTGTGTGTGTGTTTGTGTGTGTGTGTGTGTGTGTGTGTGTGTGTGTGTGTGTGTGTGTGTGTGTGTGTGTGTGTGTGTGTGTGTGTGTGTGTGTGTGTGTGTGTGTGTTTTCAGTGAGCTAATACACGGCATAAGGTTTTTCTTAGCACCATCTACCAGTATCTAATAAAGGGATAACTACAGTCTTTGTCGGCGCTTTAAACATGCATGAGCCTTCCTACTTTGATGTCTCTGAACATCGTCAAGAGTA